GAGAACTCAGGTCTAGCCTGGTTAACTAATCGCACGGATTAAAATCAAGTAACGATTAGTGTCTGTGTCTGTGTCTGGTGAAGTTAGGTAGGGTCCTAAAAAAAAAGAAAATTCACACACGCACATTGGAAATCTAGGGATAGTATGTAATTCATACTTACCAACATAGCTATTGATGGCCACAATAGCCAACGCTATCATGAAAGAGGAAAACAAAACAAAAAAATTGCTTAAAGCATTGAATAAAAATTTATTCAATGCTTAAGAGTCTTCTTTACCCAAGCGCAACTTTTTTACATTATAGTATATAGATCATTATAGTTGCAAGAGACAAGATTATATTATTACTTTGTCAACTCCTGTCTTGGTCCTTAGTTAGCTCCCGCCGACACTGAGCAGCGGCGCCACTTGTTACACTGAAATTGTTGATTTACCGCCCGCCAAGATACAGACTTTATTTACAAAAAACATGATTTCATTTTTTGGGGTAATGTTTAGAAGTAACTTATCTAAAAAACTGTCGGTTTACTTTTTCCATAAATCGTTTTGATCGCGAGTAAAAAAATTAAACAGATTAGCGCAATAATTGGTGCAAAACAGCTAATCTTTAAACAATCAATATTCATTTGCTATGGCACTTAAAAAAAAATAGTCCGAACATTTTGTAGATAAAGGTCTAAATTTATAAAATAGTTCTTTACAAAAATTTTTTATGGCAGGCGCTCTTATGGAAATTTACAATGGGTGGAGTGGGTACAGAAGACTCTTAAAGTTAAGTCGAACTTATAATCTATGGCAACGATTATTAAGACAATCGTTGCTATGGTATTTAATTTATGCTTAACTTTAAGAGATACTTAATTTTGACGGTGCAATTGGCCCTTAGTGCTTTTGGCTAAAATTTGCCCTAAAACATTTGAGCCAGGCCATGGATGAGGAACTGTGCAGATTTCCTGTTTTGTTCTCCAATCCGGGTTTGGTCCCTATTAAGCTCTGAAAAACACTCCAAGGCCAAATTTTGAAACGATTGGTCGCTTCTAAAGCTAATTACCGTGCACACGTGCGCCCATCTTCACGTGTTGTAAAATTCCTCTATCTCTCTCTTTCTTTCTCTTATGCGGTTTTTGTGACTGTAAACTGTGGAGACCACTTGTGCAACAGTATTAACGTACAAAACTACAGACCAATATCAATATTGAGTGTCTTCTCAAAAATCTTTGAAAAGATAGTTAGTACAAAATTATGGTCGTTTTTAAATAAATACATGGTCATCACGGATTGCCAGCACGGCTTTCGTCCAGGATATTCGACGGCATCCGCAAACTATGAATTTACCCAGTATCTTTTTCGGGAACTAGACAAAAAGAATATTATTGTGGCACTTCAATTTGACCTATCGAGTGCATTCGACAGCGTCAATAAGCAAATTGTGTGTGCAAAATTGGAAAGGTACGGATTAAGGGGCACGATAAACGAATGGCTCTACTCCTACCTGTCAAACCGTTCAATCGTTGTAAAGGGGAATGGAAATATGTCCGACAAATTCAATCTCGAGATAGGGACCCCGCAAGGGAGTGTACTTGGCCCACTGATCTTCCTTCTATTCATAAATGACCTCCCAGAATACATTTCTAGCGGTAAATTATTTATGTACGCCGACGATACCACTGTTGTGGTGAGTGGAAATACTACACAGGATATCGTCCATAATGTCGAGATAGTACTAAATCAATTTGAGTCATGGTGTGGGAAGAATGGGCTAGCTGTCAACTACAACAAATCTGCGTTCATTGAAATTCATTCCAAATACTGTGATACAAACACATTCACCTTTAAAATGAACAACCATGTAATACCAAGTGCACGGAGCACAAAATTCTTAGGCATACGCCTTGATGATACGTTGTCTTGGTCTACCCAGGTGTCTGATGTCTGCTGCAAGCTTAACAAGATTTACTACCTAATGGTGAAGCTCAAAAACTCATTTGGACCTGGAGTTTTACTAAGTGTGTACTATGCATTAGCATACTCAGCGATTAGTTATAATATTGCAGTATGGGGAGCCAGCATTTACTGTGACAGAGTGTTTGTGTTGCAAAAAAGACTACTCCGATTAATTTTCAATATTAAATACAATCATTCGTGCCGAGGGGTTTTCCGCAGCCATCGAATTCTAACCTTGTTTTCCATAAATGTACTCCACTGTGTGACTCACATACATATGCACAAGAATACCTATTTGCTCAATAAAGATGTGCACACTTACGATACTAGACACAAGGATAATCTCCGACCAAGTAAACCACGACATTCTTTTTTTAAGAAGTCGCCTGAGTATAAGAGCGCTAGTAGAAGGGGGACACCTTCCGCCATCTTGGATTTTGTGACGTCAGCTGACCTTGGGTTTTTCCCAAGGTCATGGGTTTTTCCCCAGGTCATGGGTTTTTCCCAAGGTCGTGGCCTTGGGGTTTCCCTGACCTTGGGTTTTTCCCAAGGTCGTGGCTTTGGGTTTTTCCCAAGGTCGTGGCTTTGGGTTTTCCCCAAGGTCGTGACCTTGGGTTTTCCCCAAGGTCGTGGCCTTGGGTTTTTCCCAAGGTCATGGCTTTGGGTTTTCCCAAGGTCGTGGTTTTGGGTTTTTCCCAATGTCGTGGCTTTGGGTTTTCCCAAGGTCGTGGTCTTGGGGTTTTTCCCAAGATCGTGACTTTGGTACAGGATCATGGTCTTGGATCCTGGGGCAGGGTTGTGATTATGGATTCTGGATCAAGGTCGTGGTCTTGGATGCTGAGTTGAGATTGTGTGATTTGGATTCTGGGATTTGAGTTGGACTAAAATTGTGCTCTGGGATTTTCCTAGCGAATTTAAAAGAGAGAGGTGTAGAGAAAAATAAGAGATGTTGTATTACAAACCTAATCTAAGTACATACTCTTAGAAAATGGTAATCCATACATTTCAAATTTTACAAAGAAGAAGAAGAGGAAAAAGCAAAGCGAGAAGCAAGCAAAACAAGAAAATATTTGTGTACTTACTTTTTCTTAGTTTTTGTTTGAAAATCCTTGTTTTTTCCAAGTTTATCACACACACACACACACACCCTAACATATAAGAAAGAGAGATGCACAGATTAGCACTGTATAATTACGTAAACTGCAGTAGATTATGCGAGGCTAATAAAACTTGTAACAATACGTTAGGTGATGTTAATGAGTCGGTAGTCAAATACTAACTGAAATTAGAGCGTACATTTCTTATTTGGGTATTTCCCGAGGCCATTGCAATGGGTTTCCTCAAGTCATGGCCTTGGACTATGAACTTGTCGTAGCATTGGGTTTTCCCCAAGGTCATGGTCTTGGACTTTGACCTCCCCAAGGTCATGGTCTTGGACTTTGACCTCGAGTTTTTCCAAGGTCGTGGTCTTGGACTTTGACCTCGAGTTTTTCCAGGATCGTGGTCACGTAGTCGACCGCTATGCTTTAAACCAACTTACTTATCAAATGCATTTAAGATATCCACACTCAACGGGGGCTGCACGAGGTCACTACTAAGAAGCTGTATCAATCTAGTTGGTAATAATCGATGTTAATTTCTTAACTACTGTCGCTTACTAAGCGAAATAAGAAAGGAATTGAAAAAATGCAATTAAGAAGGTGTAGTTGGAAAAAACAAATTAAGCTGTGCTAGTGAAAGTATTTGTGTAATGACATACGGTGGAACTCAACGACAAATTATTCAAAACGCTGCTAATTGTAAACGATCAGAAGGCCAAAATAAATTCTCATCAATCTTCTTAGTTTTTTCTTGTAGCCAAGTAGTGGGTAATGATCCTGTACCATTTCCACAGAATTTGCAAATTTTTGTTACGAGTTTTGTAAATCGAGACAATCACAAAAATTCACGGTATTGCGAACGAGTATTGTAATAAAACGAGTACGTAATAGGCTTCTCTTCAAGATGCACTTCAGCCACGTCCTACAAGCATATTAATCGGATATTTTGCTCGGGGCTATATGCCCGGAGCGATATTCTGATTGTAAACCGAAACGTAGTAGTCTTGAATGTTTGTGAAAAACTGGGTATCAAGTTTATCTACTTACAAAGTTTTGTACGATACGCGCGAAAATCGTTGTGTAGTTGTAATTTTTTTCCACTTTTTCGAATATTCAAAATTGTTGATGAAATAAAATTAAAACACAAAAGTTTTGATTTGAAGTTATGTGATGGTCTTTTTTCAGAAAAGTAGAGTAGTTTGAATTATATAAAAATGAGGAGATGAGGTACAAAATGTTAATTTTCGCTAAGTTCAAATTATTATTCAATTTTAAAAGCGATTGCTGTTTTCTGATATTGAACTTTTATATGTATTTATGGAAGATAGCACGTGTGTGGTATATGTTTCAAGATAGAGATTGTAAAAAAAAAATCGAATTTAATTTTATTTAATTAACTTGTTCAATTTTCTTAGTTTTTTCTTATAGCCAAGTAGTGGGTAATGATCCTGTACCATTTCCTCAGAACTTGCAAATTTTTGTTACGAGTTTTTGGATGTTTTGTAAATCGAGACAATCAGAAAATTCAAAGTAAAGACAGAGATTTTAATTAACCTTTTTTTATCGACATAAAATTAAACTTGAACAATAAAAGATTGTTTATACCCCTCGTTAAATCTGTTTATTATATATACATGACCAATTGTAAATTAAGTCCCTATATCTACCATAATACTGTCTATAACAATCAGACATACTAACAATATTTATACAAATCCTTTCGTATAAGTTTAAGTAATTAAAACTAACATCTACAAAATAACTATTATTAAACAACTCAATATCTATATCATCCTTAATTTTATTTAAACTACCTATTAGAGTATCTACAAGTTCTTGACTGGAAATTAAACCAGAATGTGGCGATGGTTTACATATAGTAATACGTATAGATATGTGGACGTTCTACAAGATCTTGTGTCTGCGTATAACAAGAGTTATCATTCTGCAATCAAGATGGCACCGATTGAGGTGACAGATGAAAACATTTTAATCGTTTGGCAGAATCTGTATGCGAAGGGATTTGGTAAAGAGGCTCAACCTAAATATAAGGTGGGACAACACGTGAGAATAGCCAGAAGCAAGCATCATTTTGAGAAGGGCTATGAGAGCAATTTCAGTCAAGAAGTGTTTAAAATCGTCAAAGTTATAAATCGTCGACCTCCAGTTTATAGAATAGTAGATTTGAATGGTGAAGATATAGAGGGAACTTTTTACGAAGAAGAGCTGCAAGTTGTTACACTTGATGAGAATACAGTGTTTAAAATTGATGAAATCTTAGAAGAGAAAGGTCGTGGGAAAAACAAAAAGTATTTGGTCAAGTGGAAAGGATATAGTGAAAAATTCAATTCTTGGATATCTGCATCAGAACTAAAAAAGATATGACGGAGGAATTTTATGCAACCTTATTGAGCAATAGTTCCATGGAATACTTCCCCAGCAATACGACGTCAAACTTTGTAACACAGCTACCAAAACGTATAAGATTAAATGGGCGGTGGTGCGTTGGTGTTTCGGAAATTCAGTACCCGTGTTCGTTCGCGTCAATAAGTGAGATCGATAATTTAATATATTATAGAGTAACACCTCCGGAAGATTTATCTGCAAAAAGAGTGTTAAAAAACGCGGCGGACTTTTTTCGTGATGACTCCGAACAAATAACGTATCACGCTAACGGCTGGCATGTAATTCGTTTTGCATCAGGGAACTACGATACTGTCGAGGATGTAGTTAGAGAAATGAATAAGCATGAGATTATAGGAAGATTGGTGACTTTAGAGTATTACACTCTTACTAAACGTGTATCAGTTCAAATTAAGACAGAAACACTCTCGATACTGGGTTTTTCAGAGCGTCTTGCTTTACAATTGGGATTTCGTCCCGAACAAAACATTGTTCAAGATCCAGTGCCACCCCATCCCGCCAGCATTTGGATCGGATTGCCCTCACAAATGTTCATCTATTGCGATATTGTAGAACCACAAATCGTGGGGAACGTTGTATCTCCACTAATGCGAATAGTTAATATAACTGCTGAAAATTACAATTACGGCTGTCATAAGGATGTTGTGTTCTCCCCAACGCACTATATACCTGTGATGATAAAAGAATTTGAAAATATTGAAATAAACATAAGGACTGATACTGGACAATCAATGCCATTCGAGTTTGGAACATTGAGCTTGAAGCTACATTTTAAGAAATGGGGTGTCCATACCAACAGTACTACGTAAATCAAGCCGGTACTGGCATTGGTACGATTTATAGGGGGTCACCGTATCAAAGAGGTCATGGGATAGGGAGCTGGTTAGGTGGAGTGTTTCGTAGTATTTTACCATTGTTTAAATCCGGAATGCGTGCAGTTGGGAAAGAAGCTTTACGAACCGGTACGAATGTACTAGGCGATATAATCGAGGATAAGCCTATCAAGGAAGCGTTTCAAGATCGAATTCACGAAGCAGGAAGAAATCTAAAACGCAAAGCCGATGAAAAAATTGATACATTGATGCAAGGATCTGGTTATAAAACACCTCACATACCCAAACTTGATCAGTTTAAAATTGCAAGTCGTAAGAAAACTACATCAAGAATTAAAAAACCTACAAAGCCCAAATTTAGTGACATATTTTCAAAGCAATAAACATGGCATTCCTTCACGCGCAGTCTTGTGAGTGCATAAAATCAGAGCTGGATTTGTTCGCACTGCCAGCGACTCAAACAAGTATTGAAAGTGGCGAATGGGTTTTTTACAAACCTTTATCCTCGTTAACCGATGATGCTCCGATAGAATTCGTAATCCCCGGAAGCGGGAATGATTATTTGGATTTAAGTCACACTATGCTCTATATCACGGCAAGAATTGTAAAACAAGATGATTCAATATTGGGTGTTGGAGATGTTGTAGGTCCAGCCAACAATTGGTTACACACGCTGTATAGCCAGGTGGAGATATGTTTAAATCAGAAATTGGTGTCGCCACCTAATAACACATATGCGTATCGTGCATATATTGAAACTTTGCTAAATTATGGTTTGGAAGCCAAAACATCACATCTGGGGTGTTCATTGTGGCACAACGATACACCAAAAAAAATGGACACATTAACAGCAGATAACGTAGGTTTCACTATACGTCAAGCCGCAGCAGCCGAGAGTAACATGATAGAGATGATTGGACATGTCCATGCCGATTTGTTTAACCAAGAAAAATTTCTCATAAACGGTGTTGAAATGAAAGTTAAATTTGTGAGATCCAGAGATTCGTTTAGCTTAATGGCTGGTGCAGGTGCAACTTATAAAGTAAAAATTGTCGATGCCAATTTGCTGGTACGAAGAATGAAGATAAATCCTACAATTCTTCTCGCTCACACTAAAGCATTAGAAACGTCCGCCGCAAAATATCCTATTACTCGAACCGATGTAAAAGTGTTAACAATACCAACCGGAATACAGCGTAAATCTTTAGATAACGTCTTCCTTGGACAGCTGCCAAAACGTTGCATAATCGGTTTTGTATCCAATAAAGCGTTTAATGGCGATTACGCGTCTAACCCTTTCAATTTCCAAAACTACAAGATTAATTACATGTCCCTGTACATCGACGGACAGCAAATTCCTTCAAAGCCGTTGCAACCTGATTTCACACGGGAAGGATTATACGTACGGGCATATCATACTTTATTTTCGGGGACGGGTATTCATTTTTTGAATGAAGGAAATAACATATCGCGTTTAGATTACCCTCACGGCTACTGTTTAACTTCCTTTGACCTGACACCTGATTTATCCGCTAACGCCACAACACATTGGAATTTAGTTAGGAATGGTTCATTGCGCATCGAAGTTGGATTTCAAGATGCGTTAACTGAAACAGTAAACTGCTTGGTATATGCGGAGTTCGACAATGTCATTGAAATCGATAAACACCGAAATGTTAACGCAGATTTCAACAGTTAAAAGAGAAATCTCAAAATTGCGTACATTGCATAGTCTTACGCACATCAATAAGTTCGAAAAGCAGAAAAATAAATTAAGCTGATATCCTACGTATGATTTCACTAATAATAATAAATAAAAGATCAGTTTATACGAGTCCTTAGCCAGTTTAAATGTTTTCTGCAATGGATGCATACGTCGATATGCAAGGTTTCCGAGGTACTCTTAATGAGTTTATACCCAAAGAAATTTCGATTGTTTCCTCGGAGGGTCCGAAATGCACGACTCTATTAATAAAACCCCCTCAAAATTATAGTATTACTGCAACTATGAAAAAAGAGATTCGATATTTAGAGGATTATTATCATGGCTTAAAGTGGACCTCCGGTCACATTCGATATGAAAATTTTGAAGAGGAACTACGTACCCTGCTACAGCCATTTAGCAAGATCTATGTTAAAGGACTAGAGAAGCAGTACATTCTAAATTTCCTAAACAAACCTATAATAAATGCAGAGGATTGCGGATGCCCTTCTTTAAAGAAGCTGAAGAAAGAATTTGGAGGCATTAGGTGCTTGAATCATAACAGTGAAACTTTAATGTGCTCGCAAGAAAACGCTTTAATGCTATACGAATGGACCCAAATTAGCTCCACCGATGAATTCCCTAGAACTTCAACGAGCCCTGAATCACATACAGGATTCTGTAAGGCCTGGTGTTTTTGCAGCTGATAAATTACCAAAATTTATTCGTCGTCCATATGGACTTATAGTCAATACAGATGTTTCCACCAGACCTGGTCAACATTGGAACGCTATCTACATCGATAAAGATGGAATTGGCGAATTCTTTGATTCCTTCGGAAGGTCTCCATGTGGCCTTCATTTAAAATTTTTGAAAGCCAACTCTAGACGTTTTACATGTAACTATAAAATGTTACAACATCCCCTTTCGACTTTTTGCGGCCAATATTGCTTGATGTACTTAGTTTTTAAAATGAATAATGTTGCCACTAGCGATTTTGTAAACATGTTTAATGATAACTTAAAGTCTAACGACGACATCATCCGTTTATTGTATACTGCTACGTTTTGTAATATAAATTTGTTTACATTTAAGGGTTGATACTAATAAAGACAAGTTAAAATCGTTTAAAGATCGGTTGATTTTTTATAAAAAAGCATCCCTTTTGAGTGAGGTTCATAAATATGGTTTAAAGCATAGCGGTCGACTACGTGACCACGACCCTGGAAAAACTCGAGGTCAAAGTCCAAGACCACGACCTTGGAAAAACTCGAGGTCAAAGTCCAAGACCATGACCTTGGGGAGGTCAAAGTCCAAGACCATGACCTTGGGAAAAACCCAATGCTACGACAAGTTCATAGTCCAAGGCCATGACTTGAGGAAACCCATTGCAATGGCCTCGGGAAATACCCAAATAAGAAATGTACGCTCTAATTTCAGTTAGTATTTGACTACCGACTCATTAACATCACCTAACGTATTGTTACAAGTTTTATTAGCCTCGCATAATCTACTGCAGTTTACGTAATTATACAGTGCTAATCTGTGCATCTCTCTTTCTTATATGTTAGGGTGTGTGTGTGTGTGTGGATAAACTTGGAAAAAACAAGGATTTTCAAACAAAAACTAAGAAAAAGTAAGTACACAAATATTTTCTTGTTTTGCTTGCTTCTCGCTTTGCTTTTTCCTCTTCTTCTTCTTTGTAAAATTTGAAATGTATGGATTACCATTTTCTAAGAGTATGTACTTAGATTAGGTTTGTAATACAACATCTCTTATTTTTCTCTACACCTCTCTCTTTTAAATTCGCTAGGAAAATCCCAGAGCACAATTTTAGTCCAACTCAAATCCCAGAATCCAAATCACACAATCTCAACTCAGCATCCAAGACCACGACCTTGATCCAGAATCCATAATCACAACCCTGCCCCAGGATCCAAGACCATGATCCTGTACCAAAGTCACGATCTTGGGAAAAACCCCAAGACCACGACCTTGGGAAAACCCAAAGCCACGACATTGGGAAAAACCCAAAACCACGACCTTGGGAAAACCCAAAGCCATGACCTTGGGAAAAACCCAAGGCCACGACCTTGGGGAAAACCCCAGGTCACGACCTTGGGGAAAACCCAAAGCCACGACCTTGGGAAAAACCCAAAGCCACGACCTTGGGAAAAACCCAAGGTCAGGGAAACCCCAAGGCCACGACCTTGGGAAAAACCCATGACCTGGGGAAAAACCCATGACCTTGGGAAAAACCCAAGGTCAGCTGACGTCACAAAATCCAAGATGGCGGAAGGTGTCCCCCTTCTACTAGCGCTTTATATTATAACTCGTTGCCTAGTGCCTTCAAAAACTTGACAAAACCACAGTTTTAAAAGAAAAGTTAAAGAGTTTTTGTCATTAGGAGTTTTTTATAATGAAAA